AGGGAGTAGAGGAGAGAGAGAGAGAGAGAGTGAAGAGATGAGAGAGAAGAGATAGAGGATGAGAGAGGAGAGGGATGAGAGAGCGAAGGAGGTAGAGAGATAGTATAATAGAGAGGGAGGATAGAAGAGAGAGAATTAGGGAGTAGATATATAGGAGATAGAGAGAGAGAGAAGAGAGAGAGAATATATGGTGAGAGATCGAGATCGAGAGAGAGAAGAGAGAGCTAGAGAGAGAGAGAGGAGTAGAGAGAGAGAGAGAAATATATGTAGGATATATAATATAGAGAGGTGATTTAGATATATATTATAGATATATAATATGTAGTAATACAGATCTAGATAGGGATTATATATATAGATAGGATTAGAGAGAGATAGATATAGTAGTATTATATAGATATGTTATGCATAGATAGAGAAGGATATAGAGGGATCATATATATATAGGGAGAGAGAGGGGAGTATATAGATATGTAGTAGAGGGAGGATAGATATATATAGTAGGGAGAGATAGGAGAGAGAGGGGAGGGGAGAGAGAGAGAGAGAGATAGAGAGCGAGAGAGAGAGAGAGGATATAGATAGAGGGTAGAGAGAGAGAGAGATCGGAGGAGAGATAGTGAGGTAGAGAGAGAGAGAAGAGAGAATAGAGAGAGAGATAGAGAAGGGAGGAGATATGTAGGAGAGAGAGAGGAGAGAGGGAGGAGCGAGAGGAGATGCGAGAGAGAGGGTAGGAGAGCGAGAGAGGAGGAGAAGATCGATATCGAGATTAGATCATAGAGCGAGGTAGTATAATCTGGAGAGATATAGGGGAGTAGAGAGGTATAGAGAGAGAGGGTTAAAGTAGAGGAGAAGAGGGAGAGAGACTAGAGCGGATAGAGAGAGAGAGAGTTAAGACAGAAGATATATATAGAGCGAGAGAGAAGAGAGATAGAGAGATAGAGAGAAGAGAGAGAATACAGAGAGATATAGAGAGAGAAGAGAGCGAGAGAGAGATATAGCGAGAAAGCAGAAGAGAACAAGATAGAGAGAGAGGTAGAGATAGATAACAGATATAGACAGAGAGGATACAGATATAACATAGTAATCCCAGTATAGATACATATATATACAGTAGATAAAGATAGTAGAAATTATATTATACCGATAGATACATATATATAGAATATATATTAGAGATATATATATATATAGATATATATAATACATATTTATATATACATATATATCTACATAGATATATATATCATATAGCTATATATATATATAGATATATATATATATATAGATTATATATTAAGTTATATAATTATATGTATTATATATATATATATATATAAGATATTATATATATATATATATATAGATTATATATATGTTATACATGATGTATAATATAGGTATATATATGTATATATATGTTATATATGTATATATATATGTATATATATGTATATATATGTATAGTATATATATACATATATATATATATGGATATAGATGTATTTATATATATATAGATGGAGAGTAGATGTATATAGAGATATATAGAGAGAGAGATATATATGATAGAGATATAGAGATATAGATAGATATATGGATGATAGATAGATATTAGATATATATAGAGATATAGATATATACTAATACGATATATATATATTATATATAGATTATATATATATATAGATTGAGAGGAGAGATATCGGGATAGATAATGTATATATAGAGGTAGATAGATATATATATATATATAGATAGTAGAGATATCTAATATATAATACATCGAGAGATATATAGAGATAAGTGTATTATATAGAGAGATATATATAGAAGAAGATATGATAATATAGACATATATATCGACCATATCTAGATACATATATTATATCTATAAAGAGAGAGATATATAGATATAGAGCTGGAAATACACTATCTATACATATATAGATACAGAGATATAGACATATAGAGATGTAGATAGATAAGGGAGAGATATATGGTAGAGATATCTGTATATATATAGGTAGATAGTAGGTCAGAGAGATATGGATATATATATATATATAGAGATAATATATTATGATTAGTATATATATATTATATATATTATGTATAGAAGATTGGATATAGTATATGGATATAGTAGAGTAGTAGAGATATATATATATATAGATATTAGAGAGATCATATATATATATAAGATAATATATATATAGATTTCTATGTGAGTGATGATAGCTATGGAGTAGAGAGAGAGTGAGAGATATCTTAGAATTATAAGTATATATATATATATAGATATATATATAGATAGGTATGGATATGAGAGAGATATAATAGAGATGATATATATGTAGTATCTTATATAGAGATAGATAGAGATCGAGAGAGATAGAAGATAAGACGATATATAGAGGGATGTATTGATATAGAGAGGTATTAGATGAGGGATATAGATATATATATTATATAGAGCTAGAGATAATAGGTATATATAGAGAGAGAGAGAGATATGGATCGATAGATAGATAGGGATTATTAGAGAGATATAAGTGTGACTTTTAGAGGAAGATAATATAGATATATAGGTAGGATTATAGAGAGAGATGTCCTACTATATCTATCATAGATTATATTATAGATATATAGAGTGATAGAGATTATAAGAAGAGATATGCTAAAGATAATATATAATATATATTAGATATAAGACAGAGAGATATAGATATAAACTGATCGGATAGAGATAGTAGATATAAGACAGATATATATATATTATAGAGATAGATATATAAAAAAAAAGATACATAGAAGAGATAGATAGATAGATAGTATATAGATAGATAATACAGATAGGAGAATACATTAGATATAGATATATAATACAGAGATATAGAGATTATATAGATATCTATAATACAGATAGATATTAGAGAGAGAGAGAGAGAGATAGAAGAGATAATAGAGATATAGAGAGATACGAGAGATGAGAAGAATTATAAGAGTATATATATATAGATATAGAGTATAGATAATATATAGAAATAATTATATATATATATGACCGTTAGAGAATAGATAGATAAATACCTATAGATATATATATATATTATATAAGATCTATGACTAGATATAGTTCATTTTTGTAAATATATGTATTATATATATCTTATATATGTATATATTATGAGATATAGGTAGGATATAATAGAGATATATGTGATTATATATATATAATATATGGATGATATTCTATATAGATATAGGAGGATATATTTATTAGGATATATATATGTATTATAGATAGATATATATATATGTATATAGTAGAGAGATAGGTTATGAGATAGTAGGAATAGAGATAGAATATATATAGAGATTATAGATAGATATAGGTATTATATAGATATATATATAGATATGTATGATAGACCGTAAGAGAGAGAATATATATGTATGATCGATATATAGAAGAATATTATGATAGATATATATATATGCTATAGATGGAGTATATATATATTAGAGTTAGATGATGTTGATAGATGAGTATATGAGAAGTATTATATATATATAGATATATATATAGAATAGATAGATGTAGTATATAGAGCGTAGATATGTATTATATATATATATTTATATGATAATATAATATAATATATATATAATCAATATATATATATATCTATATATATATATATATATATATATATGCTATTTATATATAATATATATATATGTATTATATATATATATATATATATATATATATATATATGTATTATATATATATATATTATATGTTTTTATATATATATATATATATGTATTATATATATATATATGTATATATATATATATATATGTATTATATATAGATATATATATATATATATATATATATATATGTATTATATATATATATATATATATGTATTATATATATAAATATATATATATATATATATATATAATATAATCTATATATATATATATATATTATATATATATATATTATTATATATATATATATATATATATATATATATATATATATATATATATATATATATATATATATATATATATATATATATATATATATATATATATATATATATATATATATATATGTATTATATATATATATGTATTATATATATATATATATATATATATATATATATATATATATATATATATATATATATATATATATATATATATGTATTATATATATATATATATATATATATATATATATATATATATATATGTATTATATATATATATATATATATATATATATATATATATATATATATATATGTATTATATATATATATATATATATATATATATATATATATATATATATATATATATATATATATATATGTATATATGTATTATATATATATATATATATATATATATATATATATATATATATATATATATATATATATATATATACATACTAAAACATTCACATACATATACATACTAAAAACATTCACATACATATACACATACACATACACATACACATACACATACAAAATACATACACACACACATACACACCCCCATACACACACACACACACACACCCATACACACACACACACACACACACACACACACACACACACACACACACACACACACACACACACACACACACACACACACACACACACATATATTTGTATACATATATATATATATATATATATATATATATATATATATATATATATAGCTAATATGTATATTATATATTATATATGTATATTTTTTTTGAAATTATATTATATATTATTTGGTTATTTATTTATTCATTTATTTATTTATATAATACATACAGATATAATGCATATAAATAATTTTTAGTGTAAAAACTGATGCTTATTTTGTATTTTGTATTTATTTATTATTATTTTCTTTTGTGTTCCTTGTACAAGTTAACCGAAGAAACTAAGTCATTATTTTCTCCACAGCCACAATGGATACTGGTGGCTCAGCTCCACCCCTTGCAGTTGGCAATTTCTCCGTATTAAAGCATTCTGAATATTATCAAGATTCTGCGGAAAATGTGCTCCTCTCACAGCGCTTCCTACTTTGTGCAAACACAGCTTATATTTACAACAAGAACACAGTCCTCTGTGTCTCAGGTAAGTTTTAATTTCATGTTATTACTTGGCTGTTTTTAAAAGAGGTTAGATGTCTGAAATTACACTTGCATTTATATTAGGATGTTTTATGTAATGACTGAAGTGCCTCCCCTCGAGTAGCCGTGGGCGAAGGGGACAGTGGGGATCGGGTGGAGTTCTCTGGAGCAGGGGATAGCATCCTGGGTGTTGGCAGGTCGCAGGGTTTGCCCCTCTTCTTCTCTGCAAACCATGGCATTGTGTCCATCGCGCCCAGTCAGCACCTGAACCAGTCAAGGTAAGTAGTCTGAGGGTTAGGTTTTTCCAAATAGAAGAAAGTGTATTCTTTGGCAAGCCATGTAATAGTGTTTTTTGAAAGGGAGTCATATTGATGTTTGAATGAACAGTTTACTATCTAATTTTCTTGCTATCCCCTTAGTTCATTGGAAAAAAGGTATAAGCACAGTTACATTAGGCTTTTTACTGGCAGCATGTTGTTGAACGAGAGTGTGGCTGAAGATACCTCTCGACTTTGTGAGGCTCTCAACATCAGCAGTATGGGCCTGGAAGCTATCACAGCCAGCCAGGACCATACAGCCCGACTCCAGGCAGCCTTCCTGCATTTCAATAAGAACAACATTCCACAGGCTCAGGTTTGTATTCATTTCACTGTACAAGCATACGTAATATATATACACACAAAGAAACAAATGGATATATATGTACACGAGCATACACCCATAGATATACACAATACATATACATTAATTGCACATACCCCCACCCCCCACACATACACACACAGAGTGAGCTCATGTGCCAGCGTGTCTTACTTTTATTATATGTATTTACTATCCTATTTTCTACAGGCTCTTCTGGATGAGCTCTTCCCAGGGGTAGACAACTCCACACTAGATGCTACTGTCATCAGCCTCTCAACCAATCTGCTGGATGACTCTCCAGCAACAGATCCTCGCTGGGCTGAGAGCAATGAGGCAGGTGGTACAGGGGCTCCGATGTCCCTCATTTTACAGAATCAGCTGAGAGACAAAACAACGGCTCATCAGTACTACATTAACTTTTTGCACCAGGTGAGAGTGTTGGATGTTGAGTTATAACTTGGGATTTATTATGATTGAGATATAACCCATGTGCTTTTGCAGACAAGTTCTTCCAATGTCTACGAAATAATATATTATGTTTTTGGAAAGTAAGGAATTTGTGATTAAAATTTAACTATGTTTGTCATCATCTTTTGGTTAGAGGTCTAGATTTATCATCCAAAGAAATGTGGCGATCAAAAAAATATTGCAAAAGAATTTATTTAGCACATGAGCCTTTAAAATGCAATTTTTCATCACTATGTTTGTTGTTTACAGACTGGACTTTGGCAGCGCTTGAGTGTTGGTCAGGTAGAAGAAACCCGAGTCCTGACTCGAGTATTGCTTTCAGAACATGCAGAGCGGTTAGCATTTGCAACATCTCTACGTACAAGACATAATGACCATCAGCATCTCATTGATGCTGCCATTAGGTGTGTTTTACAGAAATATATGCATCTATGTATCCTTATTCACATAATACTTGGTCGTAGACTTAGTTGTATAAGGTGTGTGAGAACAGGTCTATTTTTGGGGTTCATGCCTCTCTGGTACTAGTGATTAAGACTAATTATTCCTAGTACATAGGGGGAGATGATAACCAGTAGGATATGCAGTTTGTGATGTTTTCTCTCTTTTGCCATTGTCCAAAGTCTATGTTTTTCCTTTGATATACTATTTCAAGATGGTAAAATGGTTTTCCTTGAGAAGACAGTAAGTAAGTGTGTTATTTTTGTCATCTTTTGATATTGTGTTGCTCATTTTTCTTTAACACACCCAGAGCTGCCAGTCACAGTAGGCAGGAATAAGATCCTGAATTGGAATTATTGTCATGGCTTACAAATAGTACGTTCCATCCTTGTTTACCAGTGGAAACAATGAAAGAACCCCTTCCTAAATGCCCCCTGAGTCTAATCATCCTCCAATAGCATTGTACACTCATGGCGAGTCATTCCTGTCACCCGTCTTCAGATGAATTTTTTTTGCAATAGCACATTCTCATCACCCTGGCTCTTAACCATAATGGCATATTTGCGTTACCTGTCCCTCAGCTACGTTTTTCATTATGTTACAGTCGCATCACCTGATCCAGTGGGTTAAAGCATTTCAATTTAATGGTGTAAGCCATAAAGATAGTATTGTAATATAAGGAAACTAGTGTAGTTTTAAAATGACACGCCTATTTTGCAGGCATGTGCTAAATGAGCGAGGCGAGACTCCAAAAGGGAAACTGACCCATGCAGATCTCTTTTATCGCCGTGTAAGCCAGATTGAAGACATCATCTGGGGATTGTTACGTGCACAAGAGGAGGTATTAAATAGATAGATTAACCATTTTCTCCTTTTTGTTGTTGTTGTTATCTTAATAATTGTTTTATTTTATTTGTAAAATTCATTGACAGCTTTTTGTGATGTATCAATGTACTTTATTATTCATATTAAATGTATAATCAAAATATATCCTTATTTTCTAGGTCTTGGCTGCTGATGTCGCACCTCGTGATGCACCAGCCACTATTCACTCGGTAAATAGCCTTGTCTTGGCACTGTTACAAAGTGCCAGGGTAGGCAGTGCATCTATTTCTGGGATCACAGGGACTGCTAATGATCCTCCTCTTGAACACATACCTTGGACTGCCACCCAGGGTTCTCGTGGAGTGAGAACCCTTCTGCTGGAGCAGCATAACACCACAGTGGAGGTATGATTTGTGATTTCATTACTTTTACTCCAGTGTACTGCATTTCTTTTTTCTTTTAGGGAGGATGGGGGTGTTGGTCAGATTTTTAAAAGTAAAGTATTTATGCTACCACAGCTACAAGCAAATTTTTTTTTCTTCATATTATTGTCTGTTATCTTCTCCAGTTTTTGAAGAAGTCCTGAATTATTCTTAATATATGGTAAACAAACCTTGAATTGCTATTTGCAGGTTGGCCTAGCAAGAGCTGAGGATGGAGCAACCCGAGCTAAACTTTACACACAGATGGTTGACCTTGCTGACTGCATTCTGACTGGATACCAGCCACAACTTCGTTCTCTTGTATCTGTTAGCCACGACTTGCACCAGTCCCTCCTGCGCTCGTATGAGAGGGACCGCTACAATTTGATCCAACCTCTTGGTTAGTTCACTTTGGGATATTTGATTAATGAATGCCTTGTAATGAGAGGATGCTTTGTAGTTTTTTTTTCAATAGTGTGAAGATGATGCAACTAAATGATTCAGTGTTTGACTTTTATTGGCTTTGCTCTTTTCTCTGTTCATTCCTTTTATCTTTTGTCTAGTTTTTGTAATTTTTTTTTAAGACATTGTAGAATTTCCAATGTCAGTTTTTGTATTTACTGAATATATATTTAAAATGATAATTGTAGTTTAGTTTAATGAGTGCTTTATATATTATAGGTTAAAATTAGTAAAATGATAACCAGAACCTAAGAAAATTCATACAGAGTAGGATTAAGAAACATTGTCCCAGAAAAGACCAATGTCTTGTGGATGAACTACACACCAAAATTAGTCATGAATTCTATGAATATGTTGGTATTATCTTTCATTCTCTAGCTGGGATAAAAAACCAACACAGCAGTGCTGCTCTTGGCATGGATTTTCATGTCAGTTCCCTTTACAGCTATGGAAGTATCCCACTCTGAAAAGGGATCCCTGGACAAGATAGACTAGTGTGACTGCCCCTTTAGGGCATAGGTCTCTCTAAGCTCCCCATTCTTATGGCAGAACAGATAGGGAAGCTTTCCTCTCTTTAATTATTTTCTCTCCCTCCATCACCTGGTAAACTGATATTAAAGGATATTTCCCATGTAGACCTAGTATTTTTATTAAACTCTATGAACTATGTCCTTTTTTCAGTACAAGGAGAGCAGTACGATCAAGCAGTTGGCCTTGCTGAGAAGTACTGTGACTTCCGCACACTGGTAGAAGTCTGCGATCGTACCGACAACCAAGAAAGACTGAGTCAGTACATGACACAGTTTGGCTCTGAGGTATGTGTGCCGTAGAGGATATAGCTACTTAAAAAAAGAATGAGGTGTATTTCTTCATTGTTTAGGTGTGATTTCTGACCTGTGGGAAGAGAGGAACTTTTGTTTTGGTCATATCAGCCTAGATACGCAATTAATAGAAATAAGAAATGTTAACTTAGAAGGGTATCCATCATTTGAAGATGTTCTTATAACAATTAGTTTCCATAGATACAAGTTCCACACAATCATGTTTCTTAGATATCAAATGATATTAGTCCAATGCTGTGGGTTAGTGGGAATCATGCTGTATGTTCTTCTGTTGTAGCTGTAAACTGATAATGTGTTATTAGATGAGAACATGTTTAAAAGCAATGTATGACTATGAATACCTTCATAAAGTAAGAGGTATAATTGTCAATCTCACTGTAATATTTTCACCAGATATGCATGATGTAATTCTGATAAAGATTGTACATCAAAACATGCTGATCAGATCTCTTTTGTTTTTTAAAGTTCTCCACTCTTATTCAGATCTTATCTACATTTGTTACGATGAATTCTTTTGAAGAGAGTGTCTTTCATTTCATTATCTTTCTTCTTGTTCTTGTTCTTGATGTTGTTGCCTCCTTTTCCATCATTATTTCTATATAGAAGTGCCCTTTCCTGCAAACTTTAACAGATCATTTCAATTATTTTAACTAGCCATTCCTTCACTGAATATCTTTATTACTCAGTCCAAGTAGCATACAAAATAACATTTCACAGCAGGATTTAACTCCTCATTCTTCACTTTTTCAGGGTTTCTCGGACTTTGTGTTCCGTTGGTACTTGGAGACAGGTAAACGAGGTCGCTTGCTGAGCCATGGTGACCAAGGAGGCCTCTCTCGCTTCTTGCAAGACTACACTTCCCTTGCATGGTTACACCAGATCCAAACCAGAGATTTTTCATCAGCTTCCACCACTTTACGTCAGCTAGGCTTGGATGAGATGACTTACCTTAGCAGAAAAAAGGTAAGGTGAAACTATTACCGTGGATTTTGCATGGAGGAAATATTTTTATTTATAAATCCTTGCTCTATTGACTTTATTGCTATTACCATTACTAATATCATTATCATTATACTGTCATTATATCAAATAATGATGATGCTAAATACATTTTTAAAGTCATTATTTATAAACTGGTAAGGATCTTATCAATGGTGAGCTTGGACTTTGCCTTATATTTTGAGGATTATTGAGTTTGCCAGTAAAATCTGATTTATTTCATATTTCATCTTACTTCTGTTGCAGACATTGTTAAGCCTTAGTAAATTATGCAACCTGGCTGCTAGTGTGCCAGGCAGTGCAGATATAAGTGTGATGGAGGATGACACCATGACCTTAGAAGAGGAACTCATTCTGTACCAGGAGCAGTTGCCTGAACCGGTCCTCAACGCGCACTCCCTTGAGGCTGATACCATGAAGGTCCTGTCTCCTACTGACCTTGTTCATGTATGTAATCATTCAGTGAGCTAACATGGTGTTCTCAGTTCTTATTAATAATGTTCTCTAATATTGGTTTCTTGAGATTCAGTTTGATTTTCCTTTATGGGGAAATTATTATACTTAAAAGGCAGTTCTGTGAAAGGGAAGATTATCAGTTCTTAGATATCATGTGTTGTATCATATGGATATTTATATTTTTGTTAACAGCTCTATACTGGAGATGAAAACACCTATGCCAATGAGTTTGACTTCAAGAAGGCCTTAGATTTGCTTGCCTTTGTACCTGGAGAAGAAGTTCCCGAGTTGAAGAAAGACATCTGGGTGCGTGCTGTGCTTCGCAACTCCTGGCATCACATGGACACAGACAATCCGCTAGAAGCAATTAGTGACACGTTGCTTTTCAAGACTATAGAGCTTGCATTCACTCAAGGTATGGGAGTAGCATCAGGTTATTTCCACTGGCATTTTGAAATTATTTTTCTTGAAGTAGCTACAGAATTGTTTTGTTATGTTTTCTTGTATAGTTTGTGAAATACTGCAATGAATCTTAACCCACTACTCATGGATACAAATAGTGTCCACAGTAGTTTCTTGTGAATTTTGTTTCATATAGATGGCTCCACAACTGCTCAGTCACCAAGAAGTCATTTAGTAGGACAAAGTAACCTCACCAGATTTCTCCATTCCCTGAATTTTTAGGAAAAATATTTTTATTATACATTGTTATTAATATCAATGCTGTTATTATTATGAACATTATGATTGTTGTAATGTTATTAAAATACTAATAACAATAAAAAAATAAGAATCTTACTGAAAATCACGGGAAAGGGTAAACACTTGAGATGAGTAGAACTAAAAATTGGTTCCTTTATGACTAAGCACCTGTAGGGCCATCAATGTGTAAACACAATTAATAAACTAAAATTTCAGTGGACATGACATGCCATCTGTGGCCAGTGGGTTAGCTGTGCACATGAAATGACTTTTTTTTAGTATCTAAACATCACTCTTTATCACCCAGGGACTGACATAAAGGAACTGCTACTTCCCGCTGAAGAATTGCTGGAGTGTGAAGAACTGGGGGACCTCAAGGAAGATGCCACATTCAAGTTCCTGGTGAATGCTGGCTATGAGAAGATCACTCAGCTGGTTGGGTAGATTTATTTGCAAGAAAAGGGAACAAAAAGAAGGGAACTCAAGTCATGAAGTGGTCATGAACTTTAGAACTGTGATAAGTCTAGTAAAGGAAAAATGATAGAGGTTGTTCTAGTGGCATTTCTCTTCATGTGTCCACCTGGTTAGAGAGAACACGATTACCTGGTGTTATTTAAGATGTGATTGTTGGCTTTATATACAAAGGAAAGATTAAAGTCAGTGTTCAAGAATTATGTGAGTTCAGGTACTAGAAGCATTTTGAAGTTAGGGCATGAAATATAAGGTACTCCCTTTTTTATAGTTTTATGTAATGTTAGTTTGTTGTTTTATTTAAGATACATGGAAGTACTGATGCATTTTATGGTCTGCTGTACCTGAGATTTGGAATATTACTGCCATATGTAGTGTATTTTTTCTTTACAATAATTTTTTTTCCAAAATGTAGAAATACTGATTTTTTTAACCTTTGTTTGCACAGGGACTTACTGCATACCTGGTTCCAAATAAAGCTGAAAACAGAGTTACTTAAATGTACTTGTAATTGCTGACAGTTTTGACCATTACATAATGGCCAATTACAATTTATATACTGGAATAAGTAACTTTCCTGTTATTAAGGAAATATTGGTGAAGCCAGACCAAAGTTATCAACAAGCTCAGAAAAGGAAAAACTGTCCATCTGCATAGCATCTTGCAAAAGTTTGGAAAATTTTCATTGCAGTTTATACCTAAATACATGTTAATAACAAGACCGGAAACTATAAACTCCATTTCCTCAAGAAGGCAACTCAGGAATAACAAAAAACATTATGGATTAATTTTAATCCTCACAGCAGTAAAGACACCTACCTATTTACATATGAAAAGATATTAAGACCAAATCAAAACAACTGTTCATTATTAGTAACGGGGAACTGAATGTGTAAAATCACAGCCTGGAAAGCAATGCATGTTTGTTGATTTACACAAAAGAAAATTAAATATGAATATTAAGCAGAAAATAAGGTAAGTTTTATTTGTATTGCAGAAAACTAACAAACAGTTGGACAGATAATTTGTTAAGAAAGAGACCAAAAAATGAACATATTCATTTTTTTTCATCATGGAAGCTAGGATAAAGGGATACTTTAACTCCTGTTTGAACCTCAGTTGATAGTCACAACAATCATGGTTTTACAATCCTCACAGCTAAGAGTTGAAGATGCTAATTTATGCACATGACCCTTATATGATTAAAGATCCAAATACATTATTTTAAGAGATGGGGCCCTCTTGCCCATGAAAGTGACTTTTGTGTAAACACGCGAAGACTGAATTTATAGTCTAGAAATATAGGCAACAAAAAAGCGGCAGAATACACATAGCTAGGCAGCAACATGACCTCAGCAAAATAAGATGGAAGATCCTGAAGCTCACTAAGCAACCTTAAGATTATGCAGTTCTGTGTTCCGAAATTTCTTCCATTCCGCCGTGTAGGCAGTACATGGATCGGCAATTTTTGACAATAGTGATGTAATTGAGGTCGACATACGAAAAGCGCTCAATATATCTTGGGGAAAAGCACACAGGGGCTTTATCACAATCTGGAAAAGAAGACGTAATAGAAATAGAGCTACTAAGCGACCTTCCACCATGATAACACACATGGAATGATTCAACGTGACAGCTCATCAAGATCCCTTCTATCGGATGTAGTTGATGGAGGCGAGTCCGTATATGCCGATAAGGTGAATCTGATGGACGATTGTTTTTAAGATGTAATTCGAAACGGACATTGTTAAGTCTGTGGACGAAAGAAGGAAAGACATTTTTATGTAGAGACAAAATCCCGAATAGAGAATAGTTTTTTTTCGTGTCAGAACTATGATAAATATATATGATATATATATATATATATATATATTTTTTTTTTATCGTAGAGGAACCTTAAACAGCGACGAGCACTGTTCGATCGAAAATTAGAATTTTACATATTTCGGTATTTTTTGCGTTCTTTTTTTTCTTTTACATTATTACTATTGTTCGTCACCCTTTCTACTGACACTGAAGCATTTTTTTCGTAACTGATCAACCAATACCGCGTAACAAAAAAAAAAGAAAAGAAAAAAAGAAGAAAAAGAAAAAAAAAATCGAATTGTGAATACACTCGTGTGTGTGTGGTCCCAAGTGTGTTGAATATCCATTACATCAACGTTTCTTAAAGTCTTTATAGTCTGCTAACTCAGAACCCGCACTCTTGATTAAAACAAAAGAAAAAAAAAATCTACTACAATGATGGGTCTGTAGTAAATCAGTGAGTGTAAATTGTCATAGGATTTGTAATGATTTTCATTTTCCGATAACAACCGCGAGAATATGTTTCTAGTCTACAAATTAAAACTTTATAGTGTATTCTTTTTGCTGTGTACTCATTAAACATGTAAATTAAACATGCAATTACACAAACAGCCCCTAATTAGTATGTCTGACTTAGAATATTTCTCCTTATTTGAGAATTTTGAAAGAGCTGAAATGCAGGGAGGATGATATACTCTGTGAAATTACGTCCAATACTGTGGTAGTTATCCAAGATGAAAGTAGAATAATTATGAATAACTTATATCAATTAATGATGTTTAACAGGTGTTGCTTTACCCGAATGCGGATTTCCAATATCTCTTTAGCACGAAACATGTACAGCCATGTTTATACGTCGGCATTGTTGCCCTCCGAGGATTTTTTTCTTTTTGAATGACATGTGAAAAGGAGGGAAATCAAATGTATGAATACATTGAAATAATAAAAAAATATATATAATGATGATGATGATGATGACGATGATAATTTTACTTTTGAAAAGGTCCTAGGAACGTCCCCACCGCCTGCAAACGGTGCCAAGTCAATATATTTTTTCGCCACATGCTTGAGTCAGGTGGGGAGTTGAACGCGCTGACGTTATTTTTCTGATAGTTATTTTTCAGATAATTATAATGATGATCATAGGAATGATAAGATTAATGTTGATAATGTTACTAGTACTAGAGATAATGATTATGATAACAGTAATTCTAATAATAAGGTCAAGGGTAATAATAATAATAATAAATAAACATGATGATGATAACAATAATAATAATAGTAAAATAAATAAATGATAACAGTAACTATACCCATTAGGGTTACTCGTAGAAGAGGGAGAAAGAAAAGGTTAAATAAAGCATGGAGACACTTAAATCGATTGTAAAATGAAAGATGTGAGTATAGACAAAGAGTATAAAATGGAGACAGACAGATAGATAGATAGAGAGAGAGAGAGAGACAGAGACAGAGACAGAGAGAGAGAGAGAGAGACAGACAGACAGACAGAGACAGAGACTGAGAGCGAGAGGGACAGAAAATCCAGTCAAATAAACTTATTTCTCTAAATTGACAGAAAATATAGCCAGGTATCACAGAACTCTCCCGGGCGCACAGTTCAGATTTCCCGGATGCAAACAAGCTCCACAAGCCAAGCTGATGAAGAATGTAACATTTTGCCTAATTTTTTCCTTCTCTTCTCTGGGGCACATACGGCCACGGCCAACCTGCAAAATTCGTATAATATTCGTAAATAATTTTCTGTTCCGTCCCACGTCTATTTGTTCCTGAAATGTAGCTAAGTTTTGACACATTCACTGGGGTTAACTTCGTTCGTGTTCCTTGACTAATTCATTCGACTAAGTTGAATGAGAGAGAGAAGAATGGAGAGAGAGAGAGAGAGAGAGAGAGAGAGAGAGAGAGAGAGAGAGAGAGAGAGAGAGAGAGAGAGAGAGAGAGAGAGAGAGAGAGAGAGAGAGAGAGAGAGAAAGAGGCTTTTAACAAATTAACAAATCTTCAGTGTCGATGGTTTAAATACCAGTAGAGTGATATAACAAGAGTTTTCCACCCTCATCTTGACAAGTCCTCTCCTGGGCTCATATAATCACATACGGTACACATAATATATCATATGCGCGCAATATATAATTATGATCCCGGAGAAAAGGTTAACATATTGTTGAGTGAGATGTTAGTGTCTTAGGAGAGGGATGCATAACATGCGAGATGGAGGGAGGGAGGGAGAGAGATGGAGGGAGAGAGAGAGAGAGAGAGAGAGAGAGAGAGAGAGAGAGAGAGAGAGAGAGAGAGAGAGAGAGAGAGAGAGAGAGAGAGAGAGAGAGAGAGAGAGAGAGAGAGAGAGTTGTACGGAAACAGACATAAATAGGGAGAGAGAAAGGAAGAGCAAGAAGGGAAGACACATAAAGAGATAATTAATACATAAATGCATGCATATACACACATGCACAAAGCACACATACACGCACGCGCGCGCGCATGTATATGTATATTAATGAATAATGTATATATTCATACACACACACACACACACACACACACACACACACACACACACACACACACACACATATATATATATATATATATATATATATATATATATATATATATATATATATATACACACATTTATATATCTATATCTATATCTACATGCATACATACATACATACATACATACATACATATATATATATATATATATATATATATATATATATATATATATATATATATATACACACACACACACACACACACACACACACACACACACACACACACACACACACACACACACACACACACACACACACACACACACACACACACACACACACACACACACACACGTGCACGCACGCACATACACATGTATATATATATATATATATATATATATATATATATATATATATATATATATATATATATATATATATACACGCAAATGCCCATCCCTTGCTCGTCGTTGTCGAGGGGCTTCGGAGACGGCGACAGGGCCCAGCGTGGGGATCGCCCCTGCCTTGGACCTCAGCCTTAACCTCAACTAATTTTGCATGGCCCTTTCTTCTCCTTCTTTCCTTTTCCTTCTCTTCATCCCCTTCTGTCCACTTATCTTATCGTTAACTATTTTTTACCCTTTTCGCCAGAGTATATATAT